CCATCAAATTCTGCCCCTCTCCCATCACAACCTGCCCCTCTCCCATCACAACCTGCCCCTCTCCCATCCCTCCTGCCCCTATCCCATCACGTCCTGCCCCTATCCCATCACGTCCTGCCCCTCAGGGTGCTGAGGGTGCTGGATGAGCCTCCCCCCATCCTTCCTACCCCCTTCCCCTTGTATCCTGCCCCTCAGGGTGCCGGGTGAGCCTCCCGCACCCCTCTTTTTCCCCCCCTCGGGGTGCTGTGGGCAGGGGCTCACAGGGGGGGGGGCTCTCAGGGCGCCTCCCGGGGCTCCGTCCCGCCGATCCCGGGGAGTTCACGCTCCGAGCGTTCCGCCGGGGGAAGCTGGACCTGACGGCGGCCGAGGGCCTGGGGGACCTGATCCGGGCCGAGACGGAGGCGCAGCGGCGGCAGGCGCTGAGGCAGATGGAGGGCGAGCTGGGCCAGCTCTACCAGCGCTGGAGCGACACCCTCACCCAGGTCAGGGCCGCTCCGGCCTCGCTGGTCCCTCCTCTGTGGCTCGGGGATGCAGCGGGGTGACCCCCTGACCCCCCCCTCCCGGCCCCCAGGCGCTCGCCCACCTCGAAGCCTACATCGACTTCAGCGAGGACGACAACGTGGAGGAGGAGGTTCTGTCCCAAGGTGTGGGGGGGTGCTGGGGTTGGGAGGGTGCTGGGACGCTCTGTCCCTGCTGTCCCCCCCCGCCACGTCCCCTGTCCCTGCAGTGGATGACGCTGTGCGGGCGCTGGAGCGGGAGATCGGGGCCCACCTGCGGGACGGGCGCCGGGGGGAGCTGCTGCGGGGGGGGGTCCGCGCCGTCATCGCCGGGCCCCCCAACGTGGGCAAGAGCAGCCTCCTCAACCTGCTGTGTGAGTGAGCGGGGCACGGGCTGGGGACGGGAAGGGGCTCCCCGGGTTCCTCTGGGAATCATCTCCTGCCTTCTGTGTGTGTGTGTTCCCCCCCACCCCAGGCCGGCGCCCGGCCGCCATCGTGTCACCGGTGGCGGGGACAACGCGGGATGTGGTGGAGGTGGCCCTGGACATCGGGGGGTACCCCCTGGTGCTGAGCGACACGGCCGGGCTGCGCCAGACCACCGACCTGGTGGAACGGGAGGGCGTCGCCCGCGCGCGGGACCGGTGAGGCCGGGGGGGGCTGCAGGGGGGGGTCACTGACCACCATGGGCCAGCTGGGATGGGGCGGTTGGTGACCCCCTGCCTTACCCTGTGTCCCCCCCCCAGGCTGTGCCAGGCCGACCTGGTGCTGGCTGTGCTGGATGCCAGCACGGTGCCCCCTGAGCCGGCGGGACTGGGGGCTGCGCTGGGGGCCCTGCAGCCCCCTCCCAGCACCCCCTGCATCCTGGTGCTCAACAAGGCCGACCTGCTGCAGGGGGACGGGGGTCCCCTGCGCCACGGCTTCGCCCAGGGACCCCCCCTGCCTCCCACCACCCTCCTCTCCTGCAAGACGGGCGAGGGGCTCGACCGGCTCCTGGAGCTGCTGGCGCGGGAGCTGGCGCGGCTGTGAGTGCTCGGCGCGGGCGCGGCGGGGACGCCAACACCCATCCCGGCTCCCGGGGGTGCTCCAAACTGCCTTCTCCCCCTTTCCCAGGTGCGGGGACCCCCTGTGCGGCTCTCCCAGCCTGACCCAGAGCCGGCACAGCCGGCACCTGGGGGGCTGCGCGGCGGCGCTGGCGCGGTTCGGGCGGGAGCGCCCGCGGGACCTGGCGCTGGCGGCCGAGCAGCTGCGGCTGGCGCGGCGGGAGCTGGGCCGGATCACCGGCCACGTGGGTGCCGAGGACGTCCTGGACATCATCTTCAGGGATTTCTGCGTGGGGAAGTGAGGGATGCGCCCCGGGGGTCCCCCTTTGCCGCGCTGGGGGTGGCGGGCAGGGAGCGCCGGGCTCCCCGTGCCGGGATTAAACCGTGGTGCCTTCGGTGGCTCTGGTTTCTGTCCCCTCCCTCCTTCCCAGGCTGGGCTCCTGCGTTTTCCTGGCTCGGGGGGAGCATGTCCCGAGCCCCAGACATGGGAAAAAAACACTGGGAGAGGCCCCGTTTCCTGGCCAGGAGGACAAACAAGCAGCTGGAGTGGCTGGAAGGGAAAAGCCACCCCGGACGTCCCCCTTGGGGTGTCCCCCTCCCCACCGTGGCATGTGAGGGGCTCAGCGTCCTGGTGGGTCCATCCCTGTGCCCCCAGTGCGCTCCCAGCCCCAGGGATGCAGCGTGGGGGGGCTTGGGACCCCCGGGATACAGCCCCAAGCCATGGGATAAAGCCCAAGCCACAGGAGACGTGGGATCACCCCCAGCCCTTGCACCCACTTGGCAGCTGTGGGCTCTGCCACCCCAAAGGTGGGTGCTCCATGGGCACCCCTCACTCTCCCACCCCCCAGCTGGGGCTCCCAGGCTCTGGAAGCGTCTGGGGCTCTGAGATTATTTATAGTGAAGCTCCAGGAAATCCTCTGGCAGTGAGAGGGTCCCCCCGGACCCCCGGCCGAGCCGTGTGGGGGCAGCTGGGACAGCGAGGGACCCCCTTTGCGACCCTGATCCCGTCCCACCCGGGCACTGGCACTTCCAAGGGCTGGGCAGGGATGGGGGCACCCGGTGACATCCCCATCCCGGGGGTGGGGAGGGCAGCAGGAGCACGTGGCTGCCGTTATCCCGGGATGGATGTGGCTCCCCCGGGGGGGCTCAAATGGGACCTGAGGGACACAGATGTGACCCGGGGACGGGAGAGGGGGTGAGGAAGGGGATGGGGGGCCGAGTGGGAGCACTACGTGCCGCCGAGGTGCTGGCAGAGAGCGCCTGGCGTGCGGGCAGCCCGGCAGGGCAGGAAAAGCTCTTTCCACAGGAAGGAGCGGGAAGCGCGGCCGTAAATCCCGGAGTGACGGGCGGTGATTAATCACCGCGGCTCGGAGGGGGCTCGGCGGCCAAGGACGCCCCGGCCCCTCGCCCTCCGGCACTTCCCACCCCAGAGGGACCCCACGTGAAGCCGGGACTGGATGTTCCCGCTCCCCATCCCGGCCGTGGCCTCTGCGCCCTCCGCGGAGAATCCAACCACACGTGCGGCGAGTTGTGCCGGTGCTCAGGGCCGGCGGAATTCCAGCCAAGCTCAGGGATACATGTGCGGGGGGGGGGGGGCAACCGGGGGGGGGGGCTGGGGGGGGGGGGGGACGAGGGGAGGGTGGTCCTGGCCGCTGGCTCCCGGTCGGGGTTTGCCGTCCGTGCTGTGGGAAGCACCTCCTGGGCTTGTCCTGGAGCACCTCGTCGGAGCGTCCCGCGCGCTGCTCGGCCCTTGCCCTCCGTGGAGGGGGCAGGGTCAGCACCCCCTGCCCGGGGGGGGGTCCCGTGCCAGGCCCCCCCTCACCCGGAGTTCTTCAGGGTGGCCGTGTGCTGCTCGAACATCTTCAGCATCCGCTGGAGCTCCTCCATGTTCGCCTTGCCTGGAGTGGGGGGGGGAGCGGAGCTGAGCCCGGCCGGGCACCCGGGGGGCTCCCAGCCCCGCAGAAAGGCCCCTCCCCAAGGCCAAGGACTCACCTATGTTGCCGAAGACCCCCTGGTTCTTCAGATAATCTGCGTAGTAGCCTGTGCTGGGGAAGGGCCCCGAGCGCCCGGTGCCCCCCGGCACCCGCGAGCCGGGAACGTCGAAGAAGGGGTTCATCTGGGGGGACAGGGGGGGCACTGGTCAGCACTGGTCAGTGGTGCCAGCACTGACACTGGTTGGCACCGGTCAGTGGTGGCACTGCTCAGGGCCAGGCACTGGTCAGTGGTGGTGCTGCCCAGCAGGGAAAAACCACGAGCAAAGAAAACCCACGGGTCAGGAGAAAACCCAAGGGTGAGGATCAAACCCACACGTGAGGATAAAACCCACGGGTAAGGATAAAACCTATGGGTAAGGAGAAAACCCACAGGTGAGGATAAAGCCCACGGGTGAGGATCAGACCCATGGATAAGGATAAAACCCATAGGTGAGGATAAAACCCTTGGGTGAGGATAAAACCCACAGGTGAAGATCAAACCCACGGGTAAGGATCAAACCTATGGGTAAGGAGAAAACCCACAGGTGAGGATAAAAACCATGGGTAAGGATAAAACTCACGGGTGAGGATAAAACCCACGGACAAGGATAAAACCCCTGGGTGAGGATAAAACCCCTGGGTGAGGATCAAACCCACGGGTAAGGATCAAACCCACGGGTGAGGATAAAACCCACGTTCAAGGTGTGTTTGCAGAGGTGCCTGTGCCAGACGAGCCGCACGTGCCCAACCCAGCACTGCCACCCTGGCACCATCTCCCGCCCATTCCTGTGTGCCCGTGGGGTGTCCCCCGTGTCCCCCCTGTGCCCCCTCACGCCCCCAGCCCCCTCACCTGGCTGCCCACGCAGAAGTTGAGCTGCTTCTGCAGCGACTCCGCCTGCGCCGCCGCCTCCCTCCTCTTGCCCTCCAGCTCCTTGGCCTGGCGCTCCTTGTCCTCCAGCAGCCTCTTCCTCTCCTCCTGCCCATCCCTCACCTGCTTCTCCACGGCCTGGAGCCGCTGCCGGAGCTCCTGCAGCTGCCTGGTGGAGCCGATGCGACACTGCTCCACGCTCACGTCGCAGGTGCTCCTCCTGACGTACATGGTGTCCCGGTCCTGCTGCCAGCGGAACAGCCCCTCCGTGTCCTCCCTGATCTGCTGCAGCTTGTTCTCGGCCTCGCTGCAGCGATACTCTTTCACCAGGCCCGCGACCCGCTGGTAGTTCTGGTTGATGTCGTTCTTCAGGGACCTGCTCTCGTGCTTCAGCAGCTCCAGCTCGGTTTTGGTGAAGTCCCAGCTGGTCCTGTTGGTCCTCAGGTCCTCCTGGCACCTCTCGTGCTCCTGGCTGGTTCTGGCCAGCGCGGTTTGCGTTTTCTGGTAGTTTTCCTGCAGCTCCTTCTTGGACAGGGTGATCTGGTCCAGCTGCCTCTGCAGCTGCAGCTTGTCGGCTGCGGGGAGAGCGGGGACAGGGTGGGTGTCCCCCAGTGCCACCCCCTGTCCCAGCCTGACACCCCTGCCTGGAGCGGGGATGGGGAAGGGCTTCCCCTGCCCAGGTCCCTGGGGGGTGCTGGGGGTCTCCAGGAGGGTGGGAAGCGGGTGATGGGGGTCCCCAGGAGGGTGGGAAGGGGACGCCTGGGATTTGGGAGGTGGAGGGGGTGTGTGTGTGTGTGTGTGTCTCTCTTACCGTTGCATGAGGTGTTGATGAGGCTGGTGGTGATTTGGCACTCGGCCAACTTCATCTTGATGTACATGAACTCCTGCAGCTGAGGGGGGGGGAGGAAGAGAAGGAGGAGGAGGAGGAGGGTCAGAGAATCCTGCAAGGACCCCCCCCACACACCCCGGCATCACCTTGTGGGTGCTGGGAGAGCACCAGGGGCTGGGGAGGAGGAGGAGGGGGAGGAAAAGGACAAGGGGATTCAGAGCATCCCACAAAGACATCCCTGAGATATCAGCCCATCCCTCTGGACACTGGTGAGAGCATCGGGGAGAGGGAGAGGGAGAGGGAGAGGGAGAGGGAGAGGGAGAGGGAGAGGAGGGGGGGGCGGAGCATCAGGGACCCCCTGGCATCACATCGTGGGCGCTGTGAGAGCGCTGGAGGCTTAAGAGGATGACGACGATGAGGAGGAGGAGGAGGAGGAGGAGGAGGAGGAGGGGGTCTGTCAGATTGGAACCTCCGTGGCCAACCCCTCTCCGGGACACCGGGGCTGAGACCCCTGGGACTGGGCCTGGGGGGGGTCACACCAACATCCCCACCAGGCTCTGCCCCCCAGCCCCTCTCCCCCTGCCCTGCCCTGACGAGCTCTCAGCCCCCCTGGGCGCATCCCCCCGCCCTGCCCTCACCTGGGGGAGGTTGTTGGTACTCTGGGTGCTGTTACACTTGTCCAGCTCCCGCTGGACCTTGGAGACGAGGCCCTGCAGCTTGTCCTTGTCCTTGAGGGTGGCGTTGAGGGCGCGGGTGAGGTTCATGTTCCTGGTGCCCAGGGTGATGATCTTGTTGTAGCGGTCCTGCAGCTGCTCCTCCAGCAGCCGGAGGTGGGTGTCGGTGCCCGCCTGAGCGTTCCCGTACACCATGAACAGCACCAGCCCCAGGATGATGAGGAACTGGATGAGGGAGGTGAAGAGGAAGATGTACTTCATGTAGAACCCGCAGTCCCGCTTGGGCATCGGCTCCTTGGCCTCCAGACCGAACTTGGCCATGGCGAAGCTGCCCTTCTCCATCCCGCCGGGCGCTGTGAGAGCCCCACCCCGCGGGACCCTCTTTGAGCGGGGCCGTGCGGGGGGAGGCGGGGCCGGCCCCGACGCCGTGTTTATATCCCTGGATTTAATGTTTCCTTCTGCTGGGCTCCTTCCTGCCGTGCCGGATGCTTCGGACCCGCCGGGTTATCACGGTGCAGCTTCTGTTGGCGGCGGGACTATTGTTCCTGGATGGGGAGGGGGAAGGGGGGAAGGCTGGGACCCTCCTCCCCCCCCCCCGCCCCGTGCTGGTGCCCGGCGCTCTCCCAGGAGTGTCTCCCATCCCAAAATAACCCCCCCGACACTGGGAATTCCAGGGAATGAGCCCCCGGGGCCGGGCAGGGTGGGCTGTGTCCGCTGGTGGGGTGATGGAGAGGATCCCACTGCCCACACCGGGCACCCCAGGGTGGTCCTGGCACCCCACCCTCACAGTGGGATGGTGGCACATCTGTGCCCACCGGGTTGATGGCACTCAGGGATGATGCTCCACGTCCCTTGCGGGGATGGGGAAGGGTGTGGTCAGGTCCTGGCTCGTGGGTGGGGTGGCACCAGGCTCGGTGGGTGATGTGGGGCCATGGGGTGAACCCCGAGCTCGGGGACGGGCTGGGGACACGGAGGGGGCTCAGTGCAAGGGACAAGGGGTGACATCAGGCGTGGGCAGCACCGTGGGGTGGCTGGGGATGGACAGGGGATGCTGC